TGCGCCAGGGATGAGGACGCTGGCCGCACGGGCATGTCGGACGATATGTGGTGGCTGCACCTCTACGTCATGTTCTCCCGCGCCACGTGCATGCGGAACATGCTGATCCTGCGGCCGCCCGCGCGAGAGTTCCTGGAGCACGGGCCGCCGGCGTCCCTGCGGAAGGCGCTCGAGGAGTTCGACAAGAAAGCGGTGGACTCCAGGGCTGAGGCGGAGCAGCTCGCGGCAGAGCTGGGTTTCATGCTGCCTCCCGCCTGAGCGCCGCGGCGCGCGCCTGGAGGCCCGCGGGGTTGTCCCAACGGCTAGCTCCCACGCCCCAGCGGCCTGCGAGGTTGTCTCAACGGCCCAGCCCGAAGGTTTGTCCCGACGGCTTCGCGATCTAGCCGTCGGCAGACGCGCGCGCGCTGGCCGAGGCGGCGACGGCGCTGAGGAAAATGGATTTGCTTGCCCCGACGAGGGGGAAGGGGAGGTGCACATGGAGAAAAGGCAGGGGGATGAGGAGGGAAGGGGCATGGGGGAGGCCGACGACGAGGAGGAGGTGGCGCGAGAGGAGGAGGAGGAGGAGGAGGAGGAGGAGGAGGAGGAGGAGGAGGAGGAGGAGGAGGAGGAGGAGGAAGAGGGAGGAGGAAGAGAGAGGAGGAAGAGAAATGCAGGGGGCGAGAGGAGAGGGCAGTGCAGGGGGCGAGAGGAGAGGGTGTCCGCCAGGGGGAGGAGGAAAGGGCAAAGGGTAATCTAAACAGATTCTCATGTGGGATCCTACCGTCGGAGTAATTGCTAATCGCGCTGGGACTGGGCGCGATCAGCAAACTCAATGGTTTTCAGGCACCGCCAGAGTGAAGGGGCCACGTTAGCGGGCCCGCGCAGGGTGGTCCTGGGGCCATCTCGGGGTTCTCGGGCCGTCGAGATGGCCGTCTCGAGAGCTCTGGCATATCGAAGCCAGCAGAACCGAGAGAGCAGCGGTGAGGCCCCCGATACAGCCAAGGGTGCGGGTGCTGGTATACGTAGGGCCCCCGAACTGGCTGTAGTGGCCTGCGGGCAAAGTCGCTGCGGGCCTGGGTAACCTCAGGAAGGCATTAAGAAACCCCCCTGGGTTATTCTTAGCAACCGGTTTTCTCAATATTCCAGGCGGGCAGTTTTAGCCGAACGATACACTTAGCACCCGCCGCACGCAGAAAACAAAATCCACCATCGGCGGCCGCCCCACTAACGCCAAGAGAGGGTGTCGTGACGAATGTCAAGGATCTAGCCCAGATCTTTGTGCACCTTTATCCCTGGCACGTCTTGCAAAGCCTTGCTAAACTCTGCCAAGCACTGCTAAGCCCTGCTACGCCCAGCTAAGCCTTGCTAAGCCTTGCTCAGCCCTGCGAAACCCTGATAAGCACGCACTGCTAGGCCCTGCTAGGCCCTGCTAGGCCCTGCTAAGCCCTGCTAAGCCCTGTTGAACCCTGCCAAACTCTGATCAGCCCTGCTAAGCTATGCCAAGCCCTGCTAAGCCAGTTACGCTCAGTGGGTGTCGTTCGTCGTTCGTCGTCCGTCGTTCGTCGTTCGTCATTCGTCGTAGTGAAAGGATAAGCTAAGGCAAAAACCAAGGAAAAAGGGCACACAGGGCAACCTGAGGAGGCCCGAGAAGGGACCGGAGACGTCCTCCTGAGAAGTAAACAAAGCTAAAAGCCTCCTCCTCCTCCTCCTCCTCTTCCTCCTCCCCCTCCTCCTCCTCCTCCTCCCCTCCTCCTTTTCCTTTGCGATTCCTTTTACACCCCCCTTAGAGAAATAGGCTTTCGTCGGCCTTCCTTAGGGGGGAGTCCATCCCAGGGTATCCCCCCCGCCCCGCACCGACAGCGTTATCTTAGCACCGTCCCATATCAATAATCCCCAGAGGGGGCGCGAAGGGAAACCAAAGAAAAGCTAAGACAAACTGATGACCTGCGAAAAGCTGAGCAAATCTGCGCTTGGCAGGCCTTAGCTAGGCCCCGAGTCCCCTCAGCCAGGTCTTCCGGTGCGGCCATAACGCTCCAGGGTGCGGGGGCGTTATAATCCACCGGAAAAGGGGGGGGGGGGGTTCTTAATGCCTTCCTGAGGTTAATGGGTAAGAGATCTCGTGGATGTTGGTTGGGATCTCATGGCTGGCCTCTCGGGAGCCTCTGGGAGACAGTTTGGGGGTTTCTTGGTAGCAGTTTTGGGGCGTCTTGGGGCCTCTTGGGCCCTCTTTTGGGGCCTCTTGGAGGTCTTTTGGGGCGCTTGGCGGCCTCTGGGGGGCCTCTTGGAGCCTCTTTGGGGCGTCCTGGGGCCTCCTAGGGATGTCTTGGGAGCGTCCCGGCGTTTCTTTGGGGCGTCTTGGGGCTTCCTGGGGGCCTCTTGGGGTGGAGGTCTAAATTTTTCGGTTCCGAGTCCCTGTCTGGGGCCTCTCTTGGGGCCTTCTTGGGGCCCTCTTGGGCTGTCTTGGGCGACTCCTGGGCCGTCTTGGGGCCCTCTTTGGCCGTCTTGGGGCCGTTCTGAGGCCTCTTGGGCCGTCTCGGAACGGTCTGGGGGGCCTCTTGGGCGGTCTTGGAGCGTCGGAAAGCCGAAAACGCGAGAAGGCCAGACACATCGGAAAAAACAAAGAAAATCAACGATTTTGGCTTCTGCGGCCCCTCTTGGAGGTACACTTCGAGCGCTTTGGGGGCCTCGTGGACGCGTCCCGGGCCGTCTTGAAGGCGTCTTGAAGCCATGTTGAGCGTCTCGGATCCACTCTTGGACCGTCTTGGGCCGTCTTCGGGACCTCCTGAGGCCGTCTTGGGGCGATCTGGGAATCCTGGATCAGTCCGCCAGCGGACCGGGGGCCTCCTGGGCCCGTCGGGCAGCGGCCCGGAGGCTCTCCGAGCGGCCCGCGAGCTCTCTGGGCGGCCCGGGGCGCTGCCACTGCCTGACCTTCTCGCGCGCGCTTCGCCCGGAATTGTAGTACAGACTAGGGCTAACCCGTGGACTACGTCCACTTGCGGGGTGAAGGGGTGCTGCCGCAAAGCGATCAGGATGAATGGCGTCATGTTCGCCTGCCACACATCGCTGAGCGAGGAGACGGAGGAGCGTACGGACGCCCCACCTGGGCTGCTCAAGGGCTCCCTTGGGATCGGGTCGGGCTTTGTCGGTGCGTTGGGTCCGACCTTCTCGGAGCGTTCTGGGGCCGTCTGGGGGCCCTCTGAGGGGCCCAAAGATCACCAACACGCCTCCAAGATAACCCCATAATAACCGCCCGCCCAGAGTCGGCGGGGCCGATTCTGGGCCACCGCGCCGCCGACCCAGAATCCCGCCCGACGCGCCCTGGGCGGCCGCGCGCGCTTCTGGGGTCGGCCGAGGCGATTCTTGGCCACCAGAAGAGCGAAACACGGCATGGCCCCAAGAGGCCGCGGAGAGGGCTCCAGACCGACAAAAAGAGCGAGGGATTTTGCAGCCAAATCTGGCAGGGAGCGCCAAACAAGCATCAGACTCCCATGGTGCGCTGGGAGCCGTTTTGGGACCGTCTGTGGCCGTCTTAGGCCGTCTTTGGCTGCCGTTGGTGCTGCCTTCGGTGCTTCTTGGGCCGTGATCTTGGGGCCTCTGGGGGTCGTACTGGAGCATCTCAGCGCTTCTTTTCGGCCTCCTGGAAGCCTCCTGGGGCCCTCGTAGGCTGTCTCGGGTGCCTCTTGGGCCGTGTGGAGGCGGTCCGGGGCCGTCTGAAGATTGTCTGGGGCCGTCTTGGGCGTGTCTGGAGCAGTGTGGGCACCGTCTGGCGGTCGTTTTGGGCCGTCCCGAACCGCCCTTGAGGCTGTCTCGGGTACCCCGTGGGCCGCCAGGGGCGCCTCACGAGCCGTCCTAGGGCCATCTTGGGCCTCTGTATGGCCATCTTGGACGCTATGAAGAGGGCAAGCCCGGGAACTGCCAAAATGTACGCTTTCCTTTTCGGAGACGGGACGATGTTTCAATGTTCGGGCTTTCTTGGGGCTCGTCGTGGAGCCCACTTGGAGCGTTTTGGAAGCCTCTTGGGCTGCCTGGAGGCCGTCTGAGGCGTTGTCGGAGCCATCTGGGGGTTGCCTGGGTCCGCCTTCGGCGTCTCTGGAGCAGTCTGGGCACCGTCTGGCAGTCGTCTTGGGCCGTCCTGAGCCGCCCTTGAGGCTGTCTTGGGTACCCCGTGGGCCGCCAGGGGCTCCTCAGGAGCCGTCCTAGGGCCATCTTGGGACCCCCCGTGGGCCGCCAGGGGTGCCTCAGGAGCCGTCCTAGGGCCATCTTGGGAACCTGTATGGCCGTCTTGGACGCTATGAAGAGGGCAAGCCCGGGAACTGCCAAAATGCACGTTTCCCCCAGGGAATGGGACGATTTTTCAATGTTCGGGCTCTCTTGGGGCTCGTCGTAGAGCCAGCCCGCTTGGAGCGTTCTGGAAGCCTCTTGAGCCGTCTGGAGGCCGTCTGAGGCGTTGTCGGAGCCGCCTGGAAGTTGCCTGGGGCCGTCTTGGGCGTCTCTGGAGCAGTCTGGGCACCGTCTGGCGTCGTCTGGGGCCGTCCTCAGCCGCCCTAAGGCTGTCTTGGGTACCCCGTGGGCCGCCAGGGGCACCTCAGGAGCCGTCCTGGGGTCGTCTTGGGCCGTCTTTGGGCCCTCATGGGGGCATCTTAGGGCGATCTTGGTTGGGGGCCTCTATGGCCGTCGTGGACGCGTTGGAAACGAAAGCACGAAAATGCCCCAAGTATGCGTTTTCCGGAAGGAATGGGACAATTTGGGCCTCTTGGGGCTCCCCCGAGAGGTCCTCCAGGGCCGCCTCGGGAGCCTCCTGGCCTGCCTTGGGTGGTTCTGGGGCCGTCGAGGCGGCCTCTTGAGCAGCTCGGAGCCGTCTATCGGGCCGTCGGGGCGGCCTCTCGAGCGTCTCGGAGCCGCCTTGGAGCCGTCTGGGGGCTCTCCGGGGCTTGCAGAGGCCGCTGGGGCGCCGACTACGCTTTCCCCGAGGCCCGCCTTTCCCGCACGCGCGGGCCCCTGCATTGTAGTAGAGATGACGTCGGGCTCCAGCTTCGCCTCCCACATCTCGCTCAGCAGCGCCAGGGCGGGCTGCCACTTCTTGCCCTTCTCGCACGCACTGATCCCAGCGTTGTAGCTGATGACGTTGGGCTCCAGCTTCGCCTCCCGCATCTCGCTCAGCAGCGCAAGCGCCCGCTGCCACTGCTCGCCCTTCTCGCACGCGCTGATCCCCGCGTTGTAGCTGATGACGTCGGGCTCCAACCTCACCTCCCGCATCTCGCTCAGCAGCGCCAGCGCTCGCTGCCACTGCTCGCCCTTCTCGCACGCGCTGATCCCAGCATTGTAGCTGACTAGTGTGAACCCGTGGAAAATCCACAGCCCGCAGGTCCAGGCATTGGTCCCGAACGCGCACGTGTCGGAAGCACTGGAAGCGTCAAAAGTAATGTGTTTTTGCTAATCGCGCGAGGCCTGGGCGCGATTAGCAGAAACACATAGGTTTTCAGACGCAATCAGAGTAAGGGGGCCCGAACGATCTTACAGAGTCCCTGTGCGCGAGAAGTTCGATGTGGGGGGTGGACGCGTGGGGGCCAGAGTTGGGCGCTACGTGGGGGGGCCTCGTTTGAGGGCCACGTTGGGGGGTCTCGTCAGGGTGTCATGGTTGGGGCCAACGTTCGCGGCCCTGCCGGGGGCCATGTTTGGGGGCCGCGTGCGGGGTTCGGGGGCACATGTGACGGTCGCGTTTGAGGGTGTGGGGTTCGGGGGCAGATGTGACGGTCACGTTTGAGGGCAATGGTTGGGGGCTGTGTGTGTTGGGGCCACGTTTGGGGGCGCCTGGGGGCTACGCGTGGGGTTGACGTTCGGGGGCCACGCTTACTGGGGCGGTAGGGGCGAGCTTCGGAGGCTTTGTGTGGGGGCCGCCTTTGGGGGTCCCGTTTGGAGGCCGCGCGTGGGGCCGACGTGTAAGGGGCCACGTCCAGGGGCGATCTCAGAAAGCAGTCGGGGAGACCCGGGGGCACTGACCTGGAAGCGTGAAAAGGAACGGTTTTTTTGCTAATCGCGCTGGGACTGGGCGCGATCAACAAACTCAAGGGTTTTCAGGCACCGCCAGAGTGAAGGGGCCACGTTAGCGGGCCCGCGCAGGGTGGTCCTGGGGCCATCTCGGGGTTCTCGGGCCGTCGAGATGGCCGTCTCGAGAGCTCTGGCAGATCGAAGCCAGCAGAACCGAGAGAGCAGCGGTGAGGCCCCCGATACAGCCAAGGGTGCGGGTGCTGGTATACGTAGGGCCCCCGAACTGGCTGTAGTGGCCTGCGGGCAATGTCGCTGCGGGCCTGGGTAATGGGAAAGAGATCTCGTGGATGTTGGTTGGGATCTCATGGCTGGCCTCTCGGGAGCCTCTGGGAGACAGTTTGGGGGTTTCTTGGTAGCAGTTTGGGGGCGTCTTGGGGCCTCTTGGGCCCTCTTTTGGGGCCTCTTGGGGGTCTTTTGGGGCGCTTGGCGGCCTCTGGGGGGCCTCTTGGAGCCTCTTTGGGGCGTCCTGGGGCCTCCTGGGGATGTCTTGGGAGCGTCCCAGCGTTTCTTTGGGGCGTCTTGGGGCTTCCTGGGGGCCTCTTGGGGTGGAGGCCTAATTTTCGGTTCCGGGTCCCTGCCTGGGGCCTCTCTTGGGGCCTTCTTGGGGCCCTCTTGGGCTGCCTTGGGCGACTCCTGGGCCGTCTTGGGGCCCTCTTGGGCCGTCTTGGGGCCGTTCTAAGGCCTCTTGGGCCGTCTCGGAACGGTCTGGGGGGCCTCTTGGGCGGTCTTGGAGCGTCGGAAAGCCGAAAACGCGAGAAGGCCAGAAACACCGGAAAAAATTCAGAAAATCAACGATTTTGGCTTCTGCGGCCCCTCTTGGAGGTACACTTCGAGCGCTCTGGGGGCCTCGTGGACGCGTCCCAGGCCGTCTTGAAGGCGTCTTGAAGCAATTTTGAGCGTCTCGGATCCACTCTTGGACCGTCTTGGGCCGTCTTCAGGACCTCCTGAGGCCGTCTTGGGGCGATCTGGGAATCCTGGATCAGTCCGCCAGCGGTCCGGGGGCCTCCCGGGCCCGTCGGGCAGCGGCCTAGAGGCTCTCCGAGCGGCCCGCGAGCTCTCTGGGCGGCCCGGGGCGCTGCCACTGCCTGACCTTCTCGCGCGCGCTTCGCCCGGAATTGTAGTACAGATGACGTTGGGCTCCAGCTTCGCCCCCCACATCTCGCTCAGTACTGACAGCGCGTGTTGCCATTGCCCGCCTTTTCTGCATGTGCTGACAGTTGCAATGTAGTGGCTTGGTGCGAGTTGCACACCTAATCGAATTCCTTCGCGGAGCAATCGCAGTGCTGCGCTCCATTGCTTTGTCCGACCGCAGTTCTTGATCGACGTTTCGAGGGAGATAGCGCCTTCTCCAGACCCTCGACCGATGTCCTGCATCCGAGAAGACAAGGCATCACAGCATGAGCTAAAAATGACTTGGGTCATAATGGCTCGAAACAAAATGGCTTGAGCCCAAATTGCCCTGGACCTCTGCTTAATGTGACTGTTTGCAACAGTGCGTCCTAGAGGGGAGACTCCACCTTCTCGAGACAGACGCCAAAAAACAGCCAAGATCTACTCCAGGGGGGCGAGGGGGGAGGGATGCGAGGGCCCGCGCCGATCGGCAAGACAAAACATAAGAAAACGATCACCGCATGTCTTGTGCTCCGGAGGTCCCTGGAGGTCTCCAGATATGCCCGCAGAGGTGCCCGCGGAGCGCTGGAGAGACACAGCCAGGGAAGGATCCTGGGGCAGGGCTGGGCCTAAACGTTGTTTTTCGTTTTGTGCTCGTTTTGTTTATCGTTTTGCTCTACCTGCGAGCGGATCTGAGCGAGACCTCGCCGTCCTTGGGGGGCTGCGATCTGCGAAACTGCCGCCACTTCCGAGGGCTGCTGGTGGGTCCAACGGAACGAGGCACCGCGCGGATCTGAGCGAGACCTCGCCGTCCCTGGGGGGCTGCGATCTGCGAAGCTGCCACCACTTTCGAAGGCTGCTGGTGGGTCCAGCGGACCGAAGCACCGCGCGGATCTGAGCGAGACCTCGTCGTCGATCTGCCAAACTGTCCCACTTTCGAAGGCTGCTGGCGGGTCCTGCGGAGCGAGGCACCGCGCGGATCTGAGCGAGAACTCGCCATCTTGGGAGGCTGCCATCTGCCAAACTGTCGCCGCTGTAGAGGGTTGCTGGAAGGTCCAGAGGAGTGAGGCAACGCGCGGATCTGAGCGAGACCTCGCCATCCTTGGGGGGGCTGCGATCTGCAAAACTGTCTCTCTTTCGAGGGCTGCTGTTGGGTCCAACGGAACGAGGCACCGCGCGGATCTGAGCGAGATCTCGCCGTCCCTGTCGCCACTTTCGAAGGCTGCTGGTGGGCCCAGCGGCCAGGCACCGCGCAGATCTGAGCGAGAACTCGCCGTCCTTGGGGGGGCTGCGATCTGCGAAACTGTCGCCACTTTCGTGGGCTGCTGGCGGGTCCAGCGGAGTGAAGCAGCAGATCTAAGCGGGACCTCGCCGTCCTTGGGGGGGTTGCGATTTGCGAAACTGTCCCCATTTTCGCAGGCTGCTGGCGGGTCCCGCGGAGCGAGGCACCACGCAGATCTGACCGGGACCTCGCCATCCTTGGGGGGCTGCGAGCCTCCGCTCGCATAATTAGATGCGCCCATGTCACGTCATCACCTCTGTGTAACGTGTTCCAAACTACTCGTGCCCCGCATTGCGCAGGGGTTGGGTACGTCGCCCGGGTATTTTTTTGTCGGCGGCTAGGCAGGGTCGTGTGCGCTGGCGGATGAAGCTAACTAAACGGGGGCACCGACGTAGCGAATTGGCCACCGTGCAACAGCGGTCCAGGAGGAGGAGGAGGAGGAGGAGGAGGAGGAGGAGGAGGCGGAGGCGGAGGCGGAGGAGGAGGAGGAGGAGGAGGGAGGAGCGAACGTCACCTGAGGGGAGGTGCGTTCGGGTCTAGCCACAGTGCGGACGCGCGCGCGGCGGGCGGGGCGGCGCTGCAGCTGAAGTACTTCTTGTCGGGGGAGTGGAGGTCGGAGGAGGGGAGGTCACCGCACTCGGAGTCGCTGGTGGCGAAGTGCCCGTCCCAGAAGTCGCCCAGCGAACGTGTTTCGCCAGAAGCAGAAAGGTCGTCGGCGTCGAAGGCGATGCCGAGACATTCGGCTATGGTCTTGAGCTCCTCGAACGAGTGGCACTCATCAACAAACGAACCCACGTGGCTGCACACGTCCATGGCGAGTTCATACTTGTCCGACGTGCTGGCACTGGAAACGTCGATGGTGTTGTCGTCGACGGTGTTCTGCGCGGGCTCGGCCTCCAGCGACGGGGACACCGCAGTGGCCTGCAGGGAGATGTCGTTGTTCATGTTTGGCGAGCCGTCCAGCTTGGAGAGGCTCAGGCCGTCGCAGAGCAGGTCGTCGTAGAAGTTCAGGAGGCTGGTCGGCATCTGGTCGATGGAGTCTTTCACAGGCGCGGAGCTGGCGGAGTGCTCGTGCTTGGCGGTCTTGGCGTCGAGCTCGGCGTTCACGATGTGCGCCGCGGCGATGATGGAGTGCATGTTCTTCTCGTCGGGGAGGAGCGCCTGCTGGTTAATGTACTGCTTCTGCGTGTTGTTCCGCGCTGGGTCGGTGGAGGCGGGCGCGCGGGGCCGCGCGGCGTCGGCGTCTGATCAGAGCAGAGCGCAGAGCAGTTCGTCGAAGAAGTTGGGGAGGCTGGTCAGCATCTGATCGGCATCGACGTTCGCATTCTTGGGGCAAGCGGTGCTCTTGCGCCGCTTGGCGTTGATGGCGCCGAACTTGGTGTTCACGCTGTGCGCCTCGGCGATGATGTTGTGCAGGCTCTTCTGGTCGGGCTGGAGAACCTTCTGGTCGGCGTGCTGCTTCTTCGCGTGGTTCAGCGCAAGGTCGGTGGAGGCGGGCGCGCAGGGCAGCGCGGCGTCGGCGTCCACGGCAACAGCATGAGCGTGAATCGGCCGGTCCGCAATGCGGGAGAACTGGAGCTCGGCAGCGGCGACGACCTCGGCGAGGCCCTGCTTGAAGGCTGTGTTCTGGTCCTGGACCTGCTGGCGGAGACCATCGAGAGCGCGTTGGGCTTCCCGTCGTCGCAGCTCGTTGTCAGTACGTTTGGACGCCATTCTCACGACCTCCGCGCGCAGATTGGCGATGATAGCGGATTCGTGGGGAGCGTCGTGAGCATGTAGAGGTCCGCCGCCAGAGGTGACCGACAGCTTGGGGTTGCCAGCGGTGACGTCCTTCAGCTGGAAGTCCAACGGATCGGAATTGGCAGCGTTGATGTTCGTCAGCAGCTCGCCCCGCTCGCAGAAGAGGGAACCTGGATGCGCAAGCAGCGGAGGCTCCGAACAGCCAGGCTGGAGAGAGCTACCGCGGCTCGGAGAAGTGGCCTCGACGGTCGGGGCACCTTTGAACTTGTACTTCATGGAGATGGTCCAGGCCTTGTGTGTGCTGGCGTTGCGGTTGTTGGCGATGTCTCGCATGAACTGGCACTCCTGCGCCGAAAATCGGCCCGACTCGGAGGCGTCCGCGACTATGTCTGTTAGGGAGTCGCGGTGTTGGAGATGATGGTGAACTTCGAAGTCATGGTGAAGGCGTGGCCCACGAGCAGCATGCTGTTAACGACGTTCAATGGCGGCGTGGTCATGTCCCTTGGCGTGGTCGAGGCAAGCCGCGTCGTGAAGTGCGACCGAAGAATGGACAGCCATGGCGTAGACCGAGGGGCTGCCCACGGATAGCCCATGTTTGCGGCCCATGACTCGCAGGGCGGCGAGGAGAGGATCACCCATCGGGGTGAAGATGGCTATGGAAGAACTCGCAGCAGCTGGCTACTTGAGCCAAAATGGCTACGGAGGAGGAGGAGGAAGGAGGAGGAGGAGGAGGAGGAGGAGGAGGGAGGCGGAGGAGGACGACGACAAGGAGGAAGAGGAGGAAGAGGAGGAGGAGGAAGAGGGAGGAGCAGGAGGAGGAGGAAGAGGGAGGAGGAAGAGGGAGGAGGAGGAAGATGGAGGAGGAGGAGGAGGAGGAGCAGAAGGATTTTTTGAGAAGGCAACGAGTGACAGAGCTTCTGCTTGTCAGCAAAAGAACTGGCTCCGGCGGCGGCTGAGCGGAACGGGCCCGCGCACACACCCCGGAGCCAGAGGTCAGGCGGACTCGCCAGCCTCCATGGCGCTCACGCGGGCAGCTTGCAGGAGGAGCGCTGTCCTCCTCGCCTGAAACCGAGAGCTCCCGACTCTGCTGCACGTGTGGGGCCCCGCCCCCCTCGTTGGGGGGATCGTGCACCCTACTCGCGCCTTCGACAGGCTCTCTTCGTGGAGCCGGAACAGAGGAGGAAAAGATGGCGGCACCTCGCCAGGCCCAGCTCCGTCGACAGAAGACGACGACACCAACGACGGGTCGGCCCGGTTGAAAAGTGGATCCTCAAGAGCCTCGAGGTCGACCGAAGCTTCGATCACAACACCGTCGAGCCTCGGGTGGCGACCTTTCCACACTCTGTATCGCCAGCGTTCGAGATTGCTGCGCGTGGGCGGTTGGCAGGTCCTCCCCAGCAAGCTCAGCGGCCCAAGGGTCGAACCTGCCTTGCACCTGACACAAATGGATAGAGGGGGACCTGTCACTGCAGTCGAAACTAAGCAACTTGTGCCCCCTGGACGCCACCTGAAATAGGTTTTCGGGCACTTGTCCAGACCGGCCTTCTTCTGGGGGCTGCTCGCTGCTGCCGCAAACAAAAAACTTGGAAGGCCTTCTCGCCCTAAGACACACTTCGCAGCGCCAGCACCTATGTGGAATGCCAGACCCGCTCGTGCAGAAATGACGGCGGAGCCTCTGGCCTCTGGCTGTGCTCTCTGGGAACCCACTGGCATCCCGTGAGGCCTAATTAGGATAGGCCACAGGGGAAGAAGACGCGCTGCGAGCATGCATACAGCTCAGGAAACCTTTATCTGCCACGCCACCGCCTTCAGCTCCACGGAGGAGGAAGAGGAGGAGGGACGAGGAGGAGGAAGAGGAGGAGGAGGACGAGGAGGAGGAGGAGGAGAAGGAGGAGGACGACGACGACAAGGAGGAAGAGGAGGAGGAGGAGGAGGAGGAGGAGGAGGAGGAGGAGGAGGACGAGGGGAGGAGGAGAGGAGGAGGAGGAGGAGGAGGAGGAGGAGGAGGAGGAGGAGGAGGACGAGGAGGAGGAGGAGGACGACGAGGAGGAGGAGGAGGAGGAGGAGGAGGAGAAGGAGGAGGAGGAGGAGGAGGACGACGACGAGGAGGAGGAGGAGGGGAGGAGGAGGAGAGGAGGAGGAGGAGGAGAGGAGGACGAGGAGAGGATGAGGGAGGAGAGAGGAGAGGAGGAGGAGGAGGAGAGGAGGAGGAGGACGACGACGACGACGAGGAGGAGGAGAGGAGGAGGAGGAGGACGACGAGCAGGAGGAGGAGGAGGAGGAGGAGGAGGAGGAAGAGGAGGAGAACGATGACGAGGAG